ATTCTAGAAACAAATGCCGTTAAGATTTTTAATGCGTTATAAAGACGGAGATAAAAATTTAATAAGCGATACGTACATTTCTTTTTAGTTAGGTGAAGGATATAAAAAATTAAATATATATTCATAATAATTAATGTATAATATTTGGATACCACACATTTTCTTAATGAAAAAAAAAAGTATCAAAGCATGAGTTTTCACTTAAGATCGCTCTGTTCATCATCTGTATCATACTATAGTAGATTGATATAAATTTTGATTCTTGATTAGATATTTTGAATTTAAGCAACAAATATCTTTAAAATGTTACCTTAAAAGATAAGTCGTATGTTAATATATAAATACATATTTAATTCGATTCTAATATAATATCAAATATCACGTTTAAAAAAATATGAATAACAAATACTTGGCAACTTACTATTCATGGTTGACTTACTACACAATAATGTCTTTTCTTAATATTTTTTTCTTACTTGGAAGTTGGCAAATTGGTCTCCTCTCTTGACAATCCCAATTATTATTATTTATTTAGGTGATATTCGAAGTTTATTGTTTGATTAATTGAATTTGTATTGTATATAGAGGTTAATAAAGAAAAAATTTTATTCTTAGAGTTTGGATGCAAAAACTTCTATTTAATGATGAAATTAATTATTTATTTAATCATATTTTTTCAAAGTACATAACATTTTTATTCATAACAAAGTTAAGAATTATTTCAATTAAACTTATTAATTGATCAAATTAGTATCTAAATCTAAGTGTTTGGTAATACAAATAGTGTTTAAGAGTGAAGTGTTTACAAGTTTAAACAAGTTTAAAGTCATAAATTGATTAATTCTCGATTTAATTTATCATTTTACTGTTTATACTTATTTTAATTTAATTAAACCTTTTGTTATTTTCTTTGTATCATCGATATACTGACATCCAATATATAATTAACTAAATAAAAATTTTTTTCTGTAAAATCTATGTTGTTTTAGATGAGATTTTCTAAATATTCTTCGTAAAACATTACCTTAATTTATTTATTTTTAATCTATATTTATTATTCGTTTATTTTTATATAAAAATACTTTAAATTTTTTCATTTTTCTGTTTATACTTATTTTTAATTTAATTAAAATTTTATTATTTTCTTTGTAGCATCGATATACTAACATTCAATACATAATTAACTAAATAAAAATTTTCTTCTGTAAAATCTATGTTGTTTTAGATGAGATTTTTTAAATATTCTTCGTAACACATTACCTTAATTTTTATTTTAATCTATATTTATTTTTCGTCTATTTTTATATAAAAATACTTTAAAATTTATGATTTTATTAGAAAAACTTTTGAAACTACCATCAAAATTATGACTTCTCTACCAATATTTTATATCATAATTCTAAAGCTTACATCCCAACACACATGACACATTGACTCATGATTTAATTAATTAGGATGCTTAATTATTTATTTTTTATTATTAGGTCTTCTTTATAGTTTACTTATATATTCTTACCTAAACCTAATACACTCACGTTTCGATCACTGACTACACAACCACTAAAACATTTTTTATAAGTTAAAATAGAATCAAACATAATTGATACCACTTCCTTATGATGTATCAATAAAATAGGTGACATAAAGTTAAATAAAAAAAAAAGGATAATGGTATATAATAGTAAATTAATAAATTAAAATAAATGGAATAATTATAGTTTGATTTAATTGTGCTCCATAGTAAACGTTTTCAAAAGTTTGCCAGTCGCATCTCTCCTAAATTTCTCGCTCGTCACTCTCCCACGGCTCGCCTTTCTCGCTTTATACACAGAAGTGTATAAATTGTGTTTCTGTTTTGTATAAAACGAGAGAAAATTGTATATATACATGCAAAAACATATATCTTCGTGCTATACACTTAATTATATAATTTACAAACATTTTACTTCGATTCAATTGTAGACAAATGCAAATTTTATACAAATATTGTAGCGAAAAAGGCCAACGAATTATATAATTGCGAATTATACAATTGCAGTGAAATACGATATTCTCTTGCTTTATACAACAGAAGTGTATAAATTGTGTTTCTGTTTTTGTATAAAGCGAGAGAAAAACATATATCTTCTTCCTATACACTTATAATTATACAATATACAAACATTTTACTTCAATTCAATTGTATACAAAGCAAATTTTATACAAATATTGCTGCGAAATAGGCAGCGAATTATACAATTGCAGCGAAATAGGCCAGCGAATTATACAATTTAAGCGAAATAGGTCAGCGAACTATACAATTTAGGCTAGCTTATCATACAATTGTATATGTATAGCGAGATCAGTGAATTATACAATTTAGGCCAGCAAGTTATATAATTATATATGTATAGCGAATTATACAGTTATATGTTTGCTACGGAGCGCAATTATATAAACTTTGCTATAGCATACAAATATGAAATTTTTGTTTGCTATATGTGAAAGTTGCCTTAAAAAAAAATTATATACACTTTGAGTGTGTCTGGTAAAATAAAAACTCTTATAATTGTTCTTAAGAAAATATTTTTCCTACCAAAATAAGTATCTTTTTCGTCTCAATTTAAGTAGTATTGGTTGAAGTTCAAAAGTCGATGATTTTTTGTATATCTTTTAAGTATATTTAGAATTATCAGTTTTTCTGACTTCAATTATTTACGTAGTTTTAAAAATATGTTTTCAAAAAACTTAAAAGATTTCAAGTCTCAAGTCACGATTAAAAACAATTAATTGATGAGAAAAATAAAGTATATTCTATCGTTTTTAAATTAGACGTTCCTAAATTCAATATAATAAACGTCTATCGTCATTCTAGGCTTCTAGCCTTTTACTTTTTTTTTTTTTAATAATAGGTTGGTTAAGTTTCTATAAATTCTTAACTACAAAGTCAAATTGGGTCACTCTCAATTTTATTTTTGGGGTCTTTGAATCAAATAATTTTGTATAATAAAATCCACAAATAGAAAGTGGAATATGATTTGTTAGTAACATGGGCTGAATCATCCTATAATATATAGTTTAATTATACAACTGCAAGATTCCTACATCTTATAATAATGTATATTTTAAAAAATCATTTAATTTATTTTCATAAATATATTTAAATCAATATTCATTGAATTCCTCCCAAATCCCAATTTTTATTAATGTATAATTGCTATTATTGTTCATAATTTAATCATTCCATGTTGATAATTAATCTTTTTTAATAAGATGTTAAAAATAACTTGATAAAGTGAAAATATAATATATATAAATATAAAAATTAATAGAAGTTAAAACCTATAATTAATATCTAAAAGTCTATGCAAAAGGTGTTCTAAAACATTATATATAATTTCTATATTAGTTTTTTCCTTAATTACAATATACAAAATATGCATTTTTATACATGGTGGATGTGGTGTATGAATAGCACTATGTATCTAAGATATTATATTTGTTTCGTTTTTCAAAAAACGATATATTTTGTGTATCGGACTATTGATAATTGTTTTTTTGGAAAGTTTTGAATTCTCAAATTTTCTTTAACTTTTAGTTCATTTATATCCTTATTGATATTATTGTTAGTAAATTATTTTTTATATAATCCTTATCATTAATGGAATTTTAATGTAAAATAGATAAAAATTTAGAATTTAATTACCATAAGATGGGGAGTAAAAATACAATAAATTTGGTAAATTTATAAATATTTACAAACAAATGAATCAAATGCATATTTTAATTAATTAAAATTAAATATAATTAGTTAAATATCACATGACTTAAATTAAAAAATGCTAACAATTGAGGGTCCAAAACTCCAAATGTGTCATGAGTCCTTTATAATGTGATTTTTTAAATGGGAAAAAGATCTGAAATATATTCGAATTGTAATTGAAATTGTTGTTATAATATTAAATTTTGGAAAAAATCTTTTGCCCCTTGTAATATTTAATAATATATATTAAAGGTATATATGTGCCACGTAAACATAATTTTTTTTATATAATTATAAAAAGTAATGTGTATACTTGGGCTCATAAATGCCTTTAAAATACACTATTAAATAGTTCGTGGGTAAAAAATCTTCTATAAAATTTGATATCGTAACAATAATTTTAGTCAAAATTAAAGTATTTTTCAAATTATTTTTCTTTTTTAAATATAAAATAATAAATCTATGAAATAAATTATTATTGAACCAGATTTAAGGTGAATTTTGATTGTTGAAATTTTAGTAATCCTGAATAAGGCAATAAAAGATCTTTAGGCATATTCCTTGCAGAAAAAAGTTGAACCAAAAAGCACTTTATTGAAAGTTGAAAAGTAATTCATTTCAAATTTAGGCATTATAAAATATTAAAATTCTGTCTAGCTAGTAAGTAAGTATTTTAACTTCGAAAATATATATATATATACTTGTTAACTTAATCGATTGATAACTAAATATTCTAATATATTTTTTTTATGTCTTGTGAATATTCGAGTTTAACTTCACAGATAATAGTTTAAACAATTATTTTGTAAGTTAGAGTATTCAATTAACTTACTAGAAACACGTTAATGTGTCAAATGTACATACTCACAATTAGTGTATCAGTTAAGATCAAGTTGTGTTTTGTTTAAACTTTAACTCGAGGCATGAAAAGAGCCAATCACATAGCAAAAAACAAACGTAAAAGACGTGTGTCGAAATTGACTAAGATCTTTAATTATTAATAAAAGAAAAATCTGTCGAGCTTGAAATGAATGAAATCTTAACAAAAAAGTCATTTCGATAAGAAGTTTCCCTAATGAGCTTTAACATAAACCGAATCACACCACAAAATCAATACCAAACACTAAATCGGTCGTGTTCTTCGAATAACAAGACGGATACCAAACATCAAATCGAAAAATATAATAATTCCAAAACCACTTTAAACTTTTGAGGCATGAAATGAGCCAATCACATCAATTCAAATAAAATAAATCCCAACATTATTAATGGTAAAGTTGCTATAGGAGTAGAGAGTGGCTCCATCTATAAATATAGCTAGCATTGTTCATAGTTTTTTGCATCACAACAACTCTCTTCCCTCATAAATCAATTTTTTTAAAAATTTTTTTTTGCCTCCATAGGAAAAAGAGATTGTTGTGTGTTCTTTTATTCATCAAAAAATTCAAGATTCAGGTACTCTTATATCTATGTTATAGTTACACTCAACACCCATTTTTCCAATTTTCTCAAAGTTCAAAACTTTATTATTATATTTTAGTTTTATTCACTCACACCATGTAGTTACATTTGTGAAGAAATTTGTTATAAACTCCTTTTTTTGTGTGTGTAGTTGTTATTTGAGTGGATCCAATGTCAATTATTTTTCTTTTGATTTTGTAAAGACTCTTTTTATAATTATAAATAATTGGATTTGAATCATAAAGTTTGAATCTTTGACCTTTTTGAATTCAACTGACTTGACCTGCCCTATATGGTATTCCTAAATTTCCTCCATTTGTAGGAAAGAGATTGTTTTGTGTGTGTTTCTTGTTGTTGTTGTTCGTTTGTACATCAAATTTCAAGATTCAGGTACTCTGTATCTGTGTAACAGTTACATTCAACACCCATTTCTCCATTTTTCAATTTCAATTCAACCTAACCCCACCTTGTTGTATAAATATATATTTTTGTTGTAAAAGAAATGTCTTTTTAAACACCCATTGGCCATTTCTGCAGTGTGAATCATGTGGATCAGATCTCCTTAACAATTTTTCTTTTGATTTTGTGTAAATCCATCAATTGTAAGTTTGGTAGATGTAGATTGTGACTTGTGGGGTCATCTTCTAGCTTTGATTCATACTCTGCATTTATGTTAAATGATTCACTAAATGAACATTAATAATTGATTTTGAATGAGTAAATGAAACAAGTTGTAATAGAAAAGGTAACCTGAACCTATAAAGTTTGAATATTGGAGCGGATATAGAGTCTTGCTTATGGATTCATTCGAAACCAGTAGTTTTAACTCAGACCTTATATATGTTGTATAAGAGTTGTGGTAGAATCTGAACCCGAACCCATAAAGTTCAAATCTTGGAGTGGATGTAGAGTCTTACTTTATGAATTCGTTCGAATTAATCCAGTAGTTTCGACTCAAACCTTGTATGTGTGTTAAAATGCATTGTGGTAGAATCTGAATCCAAAGTGATAAAGTTTGAATCTTGGGTTCGCGTTCGTGTGTATTAGTTGATAGGAGTTTAACTCACTGGATTTTGCATTTGGATTTTTTCTTTTGGCATAGAAATGTGGCTTACAATGGCCTTACCCTCATATTATATGGTTTCTGTGATTTGTTAAAATCTGAATGACTTCAATTTCTTGTTATGACAATCTTTTTGTAGGATCTTGATAGTTGAATTTACGAGTGGATAGGGTGTGGGAGAGTGAGAAAATGACGACTCGGAATTTGGAGAAATTGGCATCCATTGATGCCCAACTGAGGGCTTTGGTTCCTGGTAAGGTTTCTGAGGATGACAAGCTGGTTGAGTATGATGCTTTGCTTTTGGATAGTTTCCTCGACATCCTTCAGGATTTGCATGGAGTGGATCTCAAGGAAACGGTATATACTTTATGTTTTTTGTTTCACTTTCGTTGTTACAGCCACACTTATTGTTCTGATTTTGAGGAATTATGTTTAATCTGGCAATGATTAACCAATTCTTGGTCATCTTCCAAGCACCTGTTTCGAATCCTCCAATCATACACTACTTTTGGCGGATCTAACATGTACCTGACAAACATTTTGAAGAGTCTTGAACAACATTGCTTCCAATTTTCAATGATTTTGCTTTGTTTAGATGAGCAAAATCGTATTGGATTTGGTGGGGAGGGCAAGGGGTGGGGGAATGCATTTTGCTTTGTTTTTCTTGTCTGAACCTAAAGATTGGACCTTTATATATATTCTGATAGAGTTGAACATAATATTCAGTGTTTAACATTATAAAACTAAACTGTATTAAGTGGCTGTTGATTGGGTAGTTTGACCGAGGCAGTGGAAAATATTCCGATTTTTATAGTCATTTGATGAGATCCTAAGCTGGTGTTCCCTGAAGTGTCCTTTGAGTTGACTATTCTTTATTTACATAGATTAATGGACAAAGTACTTATAATTATAAGACTGGCCTCAGGATTTGGATCAAATGTCGAAGGTGGTAAAACATGGGATGCCTAGCAAGCGTATGTCAATAGGGTATTTAAGTGGAGAAGGGTAGAGAGGTGGACTCATTATCCATTGAATTTTGATGTTGAAAACAAACAGAGTGATCAATTATCTAGAAAAATATAACTTCATGTAAGACTGGTCAGTATCGAAATGTTCTTTATGTTTTCTTTAATCTGACTGTAGGTCCAAGAGTGTTATGAACTTTCTGCGGAGTACGAAGGGAAGCATGATCCAAAGAAGCTGGAGGAGCTTGGAAATGTGTTGACAAGTTTGGATCCAGGGGATTCCATAGTCATTGCTAAAGCTTTCTCTCACATGCTTAATTTGGCCAACTTGGCCGAGGAGGTGCAGATTGCCTACCGTCGACGACAAAAGTTGAGAAAGGGGGACTTTGCTGATGAGAACAATGCAACAACTGAATCTGATATTGAAGAAACTTTCAAGAAACTTGTAGAGGAGTTGAAAAAGTCTCCTCAAGAAGTTTTCGAAGCTCTGAAGAACCAGACGGTGGATCTAGTCTTAACTGCTCATCCTACTCAATCCGTCCGAAGATCTTTGCTTCAAAAGCATGGAAGGTCTGCTCATTAATTACCAATCTTCTTTTTTTTAGAAGTTACAGACTGTTGCTCAGTCTCTCCTAAAATGCTGCTGTACCAGGTCGGATCCTCTAATTATGTATTACTTTTGGAGGATCCAACACAAAACGTCAGCATTTTTGTTGAGTCTAAGCAACATATTCTTAGACTTGTAGGTATTTCCTGTTCTGACTTTTCTTATGTTTAGGATCCGAGATTGCTTGGCTCAGCTGTATGCTAAAGACATTACACCGGATGATAAACAAGAGCTTGATGAGGCATTACAGAGGGAGGTAAAATATCTGTTTTTTACTTGATGCATGTCATTTTTCCTGAATGATTTCTGTAGTTTAATGTTAATTTCTAGTGCTTTCCTATGGACTTCCTGACTATTTGTCACTATGTATCTATCTATACGTATAATATGAGCTCAGATTAACTTTTGAGATTTTTAAAGTTCTGTCACTCACTCACACTGCTGACATGAACAATAGGAATGACTTGTGATCTCTGTAAACTCACTCTTGTTCTCTTTGGTTATTTAATTTACTGTCGAAAACATTAGTAAGCTTGTTATACTAGAGGAAGTGACCTCTACTCAACAACAACAACTACAACATCTCAGTCCCAAGCAAGTTGGAGATGACTTTATGAATTTTCACTAACCTTGTTACTCCATTTAAAGTCATCTCAGCCCGTATTATATAAAATAAAAATAAACGTATAAAGTACTCCCTCCATTTTAATTTGTTTGTCTTGCTTCATTTTTAGTCTGTTTCAAAAAGAAACCCTCTTTCCTTTTTCACTAACTCTTTAATTCTAAACTTTCCACAAGGCATGTTTAAGTCCATTAGATTAAAGGGAATTTTGGTAAATTCTACATATTTTTAGTTTAAGATACAAGGTTCAAAAGTCTTTTTTACTTGCTTAAAATCCGTGTCAAGTCAACACCAACAAACAAATTAGAATGGAGGGAGTACTAGAAGTTCTTTATATATTTTCTACTTCTCAAAAAGATTAAATTACTGCTATAAAATTATAGGACATAAAGTATAAATGCTAACATGACTAAAATATATTCTCAACTTATAGGTATCTCCTATACAGATCTTTTTCTTCCATTGTGCTAATTTTTCGCTAAGTCTACTTGAATCCCAAGAAATTGTAGGTCCTTCATGCATTCTGATAGAGTTCGAACTCAACCTCTTTATTTCCTCCAGCAATGTGAATTGTGACCATTCTTTTCACTCCTTCATTCTTCATTCTTCATTCTTCATTTTGACATGATAAATATAAGAAATATTTATTTTACCTCTATATCTTTACCGTTATTCTACTTGAATCAAATCATGTCCTATCAAACAAAATTGGCAGCTGAAGGCAATAGTGATTGTTTACTCTCTTTAATCTGTATATCTGACATCCAAGTAAAACTGAAATGTGTAGTGCCGAGCTTCATATTTGAAAAAATATGTTAAACTCTTCTTGAATCATGATGTAGTGCTAAGAGGGATTCCTTGGTTCTGTTAACAATTGTATCTTCTGATTTTTGCAGATTCAAGCTGCTTTCCGCACTGATGAGATTCGGAGGACTGCTCCAACTCCACAAGATGAAATGAGAGCTGGAATGAGCTACTTCCATGAAACTATTTGGAAGGGTGTTCCTAAGTTCCTTCGCCGTGTTGACACAGCTCTTAAAAACATAGGGATTAACGAACGAGTTCCTTACAATGCTCCTGTTATTCAATTCTCCTCTTGGATGGGTGGTGATCGGGATGGTATGCTCCATTCTAATATATAATATTTTAATATATACACACACATACTTCTCTGTTCTCGATTTGGGAAGACTCCCTCTTAAGTTTGTCACTTAGCAGTTGTCTGATACTAAATGCAGGCAATCCAAGAGTGACTCCCGAGGTCACAAGAGATGTCTGTTTATTAGCAAGAATGATGGCAGCGAACTTATACTATTCGCAAATAGAGGAGCTCATGTTTGAGGTATCAAAGAGCAACTTAATGTTTTTCCAGTTTACTCTTTGATCCATCCTGAAGCATTACGTCAGTTCCATGGTCTTTTATATGCTTCTAACTCGTATGTTGTTTCAGTTATCTATGTGGCGTTGCAACGATGAAGTTCGTATTCGAGCAGACGAACTTTACAGGTCCTCAAGGCAAGACACCAAGCATTACATAGGTAACTAGTGTTATTGTTTTTACGATAATGGTCAAAAACAGAAGATAATGGTCAAAAACATACCTAGTTGTTCATGTAGGAAACACAAACACTTGATAGTTCAGGTATGATGCTCGAAAAAAAGTGATACTCGAGGTGTGTTTTTTAGGTATCGTGCACCAACATCAATAAGGACACACATGAAGTTCTACATTAGTGTTTATTGACCAGAAATTGCATCAAGTAGTCCCTTGCAATCTCTATTTGGATGGTGCAATTGTATAATTCTGGTCTGTAACTTTTCCTTTTGATGTAGAATTCTGGAAAACAATTCCGCCAAGTGAACCATATCGTGTAATTCTTGGCGATGTGAGAGATAAGTTGTATCAGACACGTGAGCGTACTCGCCAAGTGTTAGCCCATGGAATCTCTGATATTCCTGAGGATGCAACTTATAATAGCATTGAGCAGGTATCTAATATTTGTGACCTTCTATATGAAGAATATTATAAATCTAAGCAGGGAACAGTCGCTAATGTGATGCTTATGTGTTGAACATTTTATGCAGTTCTTGGAACCTCTTGAGCTCTGCTACAAATCACTTTGTGATTGTGGTGATCGTCCCATTGCCGATGGAAGCCTTCTGGATTTTCTAAGACAAGTTTCAACCTTTGGACTCTCATTTGTGAGACTTGACATAAGACAAGAGTCAGACCGTCACACTGACGTCCTTGATGCCATTACTCAGCATTTGGAAATTGGTTCATATCGTGAGTGGTCTGAAGAACGTAGACAGGAGTGGCTTCTTTCTGAACTCAGCGGCAAGAGACCTTTATTTGGACCTGATCTTCCAAAAACAGAAGAAATTGCTGATGTCTTGGATACACTCCATGTCATAGCAGAACTTCCATCAGACTGCTTCGGGGCATACATCATCTCAATGGCCACCGCACCATCTGATGTGCTTGCAGTTGAGCTCCTACAACGTGAATGCCATGTGAAGCAACCTTTACGAGTGGTTCCACTTTTTGAGAAATTGGATGATCTGGAGGCTGCTCCTGCTGCTGTTGCACGTCTCTTCTCGATTGAGTGGTACAGAAACCGGATTAAAGGCAAACAAGAGGTCATGATTGGGTATTCGGACTCTGGTAAGGATGCTGGTCGGTTTTCAGCAGCCTGGCAGCTATATAAGGCTCAAGAGGAGCTTGTAAAAGTTGCTAAAGAACATGGTGTGAAGCTAACCATGTTCCATGGTAGAGGTGGTACAGTTGGAAGAGGAGGTGGCCCCACCCATCTTGCTATATTGTCTCAACCACCTGACACTATTAACGGATCTCTCCGTGTCACAGTTCAGGGCGAGGTTATTGAGCAATCGTTTGGGGAGGAACACTTGTGTTTTAGAACTCTCCAACGTTTCACTGCTGCTACCCTTGAACATGGTATGAATCCACCTGTCTCTCCAAAACCCGAATGGCGTGCACTTATGGATGAAATTGCAGTTATTGCTACAGAGAAGTATAGGTCAATCGTGTTCAAAGAACCCCGATTTGTTGAGTATTTCCGCTTGGTAAGTTTGCTAGGAAATTCAGCATTATATCTTATCTCAACAAATATTGCATTGAGCTAACTTGTTTTCTTTCTTTTGATAACCATCACAGGCCACACCTGAGCTAGAATATGGTCGAATGAACATTGGCAGCCGTCCGTCAAAGCGTAAACCCAGTGGAGGCATAGAATCGCTCAGAGCTATTCCATGGATCTTCGCCTGGACCCAGACAAGGTTTCATCTCCCTGTCTGGCTTGGCTTTGGGGCAGCATTTAGGTATGCTGTTGACAAGGATATCAAAAACCTACGCATGTTTCACGAGATGTACAATGCATGGCCATTCTTTAGGGTAACTATTGACTTAGTTGAGATGGTGTTCGCCAAGGGTGACCCGGGTATTGCAGCTCTGTACGACAAGCTTCTTGTTTCAGAAGATCTGTGGTCCTTCGGTGAGCTTTTGAGGTCCAAGTACGAAGAGACAAGAACCCTCCTTCTCCAGGTAACTATTCATGAATTCTGTAAAGTATTACTCAAATTGTTTGTCTTCCTTTCCTTTTTTAGGCTGTTTCAGAAAGAATATCTTTTTCCTTTTTTAACAACTCTTTAATGCTAACTTTCCACATAGCATGTTTAATACCACACGGTTACAAGTACATTTTGGTACATTCCACATATCTTTAGTTTAAGATCACAAAATTCAAAAGTTTATTTACATTCTTAAACTCTATGCCACGTTAAAACCAAACAACCAAAATGAAATAGAGGGAGTATCGGTTATCACTTGTTTATGTCTGATTTCTTAAAATCCATCTTGGATCAATGGTAAAGTTGTCTTTCGTGTGACCTATAGATCATGACTTAGAGCCTGTTTGGATTGACTTATTTAAGTGCTTTTAAGCACAAATAGCTTTTAAGCACTGTTTTAGTATTTGGGTAAATTAAACAAGTGTTTATAAGCCAAAAGTCTATCCAAACAGGCTTTACTCTAGAACTTGTGTCAGGGTAGAGTGTACCTTCCCTCAGACCCTACATAAACGGGGGATGCTTCGTGCATCAGGCTGCCTTTTTTATGTTTATTTGCTTGAGAATCCATGGTTCTAAGTTACATTTTTTACTGTTCTTTCTTAATAGATTGCTGGACACAAGGATCTTCTGGAGGGAGACCCCTACCTTAAACAACGACTCAGGCTGCGTGATTCCTACATCACAACCTTAAACGTGTTGCAAGCCTACACTCTAAAGCGTATACGTGATCCAAACTACCATGTCAAGCTGAGGCCTCATATTTCCAAGGAATACATGGAATCAAAGTCAGCTGCTGAACTAGTGAAACTGAATCCGACAAGTGAATATGCCCCTGGATTGGAGGACACACTTATCTTGACCATGAAGGGTATTGCTGCTGGAATGCAGAACACAGGCTAAACGCAAAGAACCTCGTTCATGTTTTTTTTTTGTAATTTTATACTCGAAAAAGCATCAATCTGGTTTACGAAAGATGATGTTTTTTTCATCCTGTTCTGTTTTATGTTGTGTGTTTGAGGTGGTGTTGTATTTTATGCCCACCCTATAGAGATCATGTTTGATCAAGTTGCTCGTCGCAACGCCTCGAGAATAAGACTGCAGTTGAGCAAATGTTGCACCAGCATGTGTAATCTCATTTGCTGGCTTAATGAAATATCTATTTGCTTCCAACATCCATTTTTATGGCCCTCTTTTTTTTTAGGTAAAGATTGTATATTGTAACCATGCACTTCATATTCGCCCGGAGTTTGCTTCTAGAAACATCGCCCCCTCACGTCAATTTTACGAGCCTCTTATTCATTCTCATTGAAAGACGATAGTGGAGCTAATCCGATTAGAACATTAGATTCCACCACATTGAGTTACATACCTTATTTGTCCTATCGAAAAATAGAACTGACTAACTTTAAGTTAAATGATGAATTAAACATTACATATATCAAGATATGCAGTAGTCAATTTTTTTTTATCAACACTCTCATATATATTTTCGGAAAACCTTTTCCATGCACTAAACTAAAAATAAAAAAAAATTGAACATAACAATTTGTTCATAAAAGAGATATTAGATTTAAATTTCGATAAAAATAAATATATTAAGTAAATTTTTTGTATTTATCCAAATACTTATATCGAAAATTGGTGAAAAGTAACAAATAATCCTATATAAAATTAGTTAAAATGCACATGACAACAACCAAAAGATAATAGTGACAAATTCACTGTCACCAATCAAAGTGAAACTTAGCCACCATTTGTTGACCAATCTTGAGATATACTTAGTGCACACGGAAAGGATACTTACATGTGAAGCTCAATTACTACGTTTATTTTAAATTATTTATCGTGATTTTAAAAAAATATAATATACATAAATACGTTGCTTAATTTTTTTTTTTATATTAAAGTTTTTCAATTTTGAGTATACACAAGTAAACATTTAAATTTATATAAAACAGAGCAAGTAGACACACACACCCTACGTAACATATTACACAAATAACATCATATAGGATGCAAATTACCACATAAAACTCAGTAAGGCATACGTATTTACCTATTCAATTTTATATGATTTCGATTAATATACTAAAAATGGTGAAAATGATGATGTTTCTTGATGATGTATATGTTGATTATATTCTTTCTATTAAATTTCCATGGTCAATAGTTGGTGATTTAATTGTTTCCTAGAAATTACCTAAGTCCACATCAAGTCTTCTTTAAATAATAACTTTATTGTAAAGTCCATTAAAATATAAAACGATTTCCCATTATATATATTTGAAAATTCGATCTCTTTAGCCAATTCATTCAAGTAAAGAATCTCAATTCTCAATTTCACAAAAAAAAAGAAAAAAAATGTCTCCTGAAGAAATGTCGAATATGAAATCATTAATATCGACTATTGCATCCGTTACTGCAACAGCTATGCTTGTTCGAAGCATAGCTAGTGACTTTATCCCAAAAGAATATCGTAGTTATGTCTTTGATAGCTTCCACAGCCTTTTTCATCGTTTCTCTTCGCAATTCACAATCTTGATTCATGAATTCCAGGGTCCGTCTCCAAACCTCGTGTTCGAGGCAGTTGAGGTTTATTTAGGAAGTATAGTGAACTCTTCTACTAAGAGTATTCGATTAGGGAAGACGGAGAATGACAAAGGGCTAGTTATTACAATGGATAAAGACGAAGAGATCATCGATGTTTTTGAGGATGTTAAGGTGACATGGAGGATGGAATGTAGACGAATCGAGTCAGGGAGCCAGAACGATGAGATAAAGGATATGATAGCTGCATTGTGTTCGGAGCTGAGATGTTATGAGTTGAAATTTCATAAGAAACATAAGGAGAAGGTGATGAAATCGTATTTACCTTACATTATGGAGAGATCAAAAAACGCGAAAGAAGAATCCAGGGTTATAAAATTGTATTCTAATTTCAGGAACTGGGGTTCTGATGGAATGAATCTCAAACATCCTATGACATTCGATACTCTAGCTATGGACGAAGAGGTAAAAAACGCGTTAATTGATGATTTAGAAAGTTTTGTTAAAGGGAAAGAGTACTATAGCAGGATTGGTAAAGCATGGAAAAGAGGTTACTTGCTTTATGGACCTCCGGGAACTGGTAAATCGAGTTTGATTGCTGCTATGGCGAATCATTTGAACTATGATATCTATGATTTAGATCTTACAGAAGTACGTAGCAATTCAAATCTTCGATCATTGCTACTTGGTATGTCTGGCCGATCAATACTTGTAATCGAAGACATTGATTGCAGTATTAATTTAGAAAACAGAGAACAGAAGGAAGAAAAGGAAAATAAGCATAACAGAGTAAGTTTTAAGTTCAATTTTTAGTCTATGTTTCATTTTTTTTTTCGTTCTTACCTATTAAACTAATTTTGGTTTCGATTTTTCACAAAAGGTTACTCTGTCAGGGATACTTAATTTTCTCGATGGGATATGGTCGTGTTGTGGAGAGGAACGAGTAATTGTGGTTACGACGAATCACATTGACAAACTTGATGCAGCATTGTTGAGACCTGGAAGAATGGATATGCACATCAACATGTCATACTGCAAGTCATCGGCGTTTAAACAATTAGTTTTCAATTATTTAAATATTCATGATCACGAACTGTTTGATCAAATCGGAGAGCTATTACAAGTTGTGGAGGTTACACCGGCAGATGTTGCAGGGGAACTGTTGAAAAGCAAGAATCCAACTATATCCCTTCGAGGGCTCGTTGAATTTTTGAAAATAAAATTGCAGAAAGAAGAGACGTTGAAATCGCAAAATGGAGGACCAGAGGCAGAGGAAGCATTCAAAGATGAAACGAAACATGAATCTATACATGATTCTTCTGAGGATCTGAGTAATATTGTTGATCTGTAAACGAAGACGGAGACACATTTTGTACTTTCTTCTTCTTGTATGTTGATGAATAAATAGATTATTGAAGCTAACAAGTATTTTGAGCTATCTGTTCAGTCAAATCTTTTGCACAGTTTATATATAAATTACAAACACAAAACAAAGTTGATACATTAGTATACATACATTAAAAATAATTCGATTTAACTACATTGTGTAAGTTCCCTGCGAAGGGATATCAATCGACTCTCCTCGGATAAGGGTAGCTCCATCCTGCATCCTATGTACTTAACTTGTTGGTGTGTATATCTATCTCGTATCCTATTTTTTGCCTTCTGTTTGTTGGTGGGTAGATCTCTTATATAGTCAACTGTTGCCTTGTATCTGTTGGTGTGTAGATGTATTCAGTATAGATGTATCATGTATCCTTTTATTTTTTGGAACCCCTTGGTAGCTCCATCATATATAGACAAGTATTATAGACCTTATGTTTGTTGGTGTGTAGATGTATTCTGTATAGATCTACGCCGTATCCTTTTTTTTTGGGAGGGGGGGGGGACCCCTTGGATAAAGGATAGCTCCATCCTATATAGTCAATTGTTGCCTTATGTTTGTTGGTTGGTGCGTAGACATATCCCGTATAGATCTACCCTGTATTTTTTTTTGGAAACCTTTTGGATAAGGGTAGCTCCATCCTACATAGTTAACCATTGTCTTCTTTTTGTTGTTGGTGTGTAAATGTATCATGTATATAGTTAACTATTGTCTTCTATCTGTTAGTGTGTAGATGTATCTCATATAGATCTAACTCTTTTTTTTTTAACCTTTCGGATAAGGATAGTTAACTGTTGACTTCTGTCTGTTGCTGTATAGATGTATCTCATATACATCTTTTTTTTTTCGGAACCCCGGATTAGGGTAGCTCCATCATATATAGTCAATTGTTCCCTTCTCTCTGTTGGAGCTCCATCCTATACCCCTTGGATAAGGGTAGCTCTATCTATATAGTCAATTATTGTCTTCTGTCTGTTGGTGTCGACATACTCGACTCAGAAGGTATTGAGGAATGATCGATTCTGGGTCATTTGTGTGGTTAATCACCCTCCAAATCAACTAAGTCATCCTGAAGGACAATATCCTATTTTTTCTCTCGTAGGTTTATCATTTAAATTACTATCGCGTGATAATTTTGTAACGTAGAAAAATAATACCATTAATCCAAACGTTATATTCATTAAAATAATTATGATACATTTAAAAATATTTCGTGACCTCTCAATTATTGCAAATTCTAAGCCATCCCAAGTTTTGAGGCTAATTTTTTTTACTATACTATTTTTACAACCACAAAAACATAAAAAATAAAAAATAAAAAATAAAAAAAATAAACCGAGTCAATTGCTACAATCACTTCATTATTAATTTTAATTAATATTATGTGGTTATATATGAAACTGTTAGAGAAATAATAGCTCCACCATATTTTTTTCTCAATTTATTTTCACTATAAAAAGGCTATTTCATTATAATCAAAACAAGACACACACAAAGAGAAGGAGCAATAAAATAAAAGTAAACAACAATTTGTGTGTTTAAAAAAAAAAAAAAAGTACACACACCAAAAAAAAAAATTCCAATTTAAAATGGCAAAGGCTATTGTGCTCCTCTCTGCTCTTTGCATTTTGGCCCTTGCCAATTTTGCACATTGCCGCCCTGAAGTTTTTGATGTTGAAGGAAAGGTCTACTGTGATACTTGCCGCGTTCAATTCGAAACAAAACTCAGCGAGAACCTTGAAGGTATATACTATATTTTCATTCACTTCGTTCTATTCAGACTCATTTCATCTTATATATATTTACATTCACTTTGTTCTATTCAGGCTCATTTCATCTTATATAAATTTACATTCACTTCGTTCTATTCAGGCTCATTTCATCTTATGTATATTTACATTCACTTCGTTCTATTCAGGCTCATTTCATCTTATATATATTTACATTCACTTCGTTCTATTCAGACTCATTTCATCTTATATATATTTACATTCACTTTGTTTTATTCAGACTCATTTCATCTTATATAAATTTACATTCACTTCGTTCTATTCAGGCTCATTTCATCTTATGTATATTTACATTCACTTCGTTCTATTCAGACTCATTTCATCTTATATATATATACATTCACTTTGTTCTATTCAGACTCATTTCATCTAATAACTCCGTATTGATTATGTTTTGTTTTGTTGCAAATAGGTGCAACTGTGAAGTTGCAATGCAGGAACATCAGCACAGAGGCTGAGACGTTTTCAGTGGAAGGTGTGACTGATAAAGATGGCAAGTACAAATTAACCGTTAATGGAGACCACGAGAACGATATTTGCGAGGTGACAGTTGTGAAAAGCCCAAGGGAGGACTGCAAAGAGAGTGTGTCTGGATATGAAAAGGCAAGAATTGAGTGTAGTGACAATGTTGGTATCCACAATGCTGTGAGATTTGCCAATCCACTTTTCTTCATGAAGGCTGAGTCTGTTCAAGGATGCAAAGAAGCTCTTGATGAGTTGGGTTTATTCCCCCTTGAATTCTAAAAAAGTCTTTTTCTTTTTTTTTTAACGTGACAGAAAATAAATTAGTCCTTTTCATGTTGTAATGCGAAATAATAAAAATATGAGGAAAAGATGGATTTTCTCATTTATATGTATTCATATGGGATGATAAGTTCCATGTATTTGTTTTTAATGAGAAGATCTTGATCATATTTTAAGAAACTATGTTTTCCTCTTCTTGGTGTTTGGACTTGTTATAACTTTATGATGTTCTGATTCCCTTGCTCATATTTCGATAGTATATATAGTTATAATATCCTTACTTAGTTCTCGTATAAGAAAACGTTTCACATACTTTAAGAAACTTTGTTCTCCTCTTCTTGGTGTTTGGACTTGTTATAACTTTATGATATTCTGATCAGTTTTCTCATATTTCGATAGTATGTATAGTTATAATGTCCACATCATGATCAACTTAGTTCTCATGAAAGAAAACGTTTCACATACTTTAAGAAACTATGTTTTCCTCTTCTTGGTGTTTGGACTTGTTATAACTTTATGATGTTTTGATTCCCTTGCTCATATTTCGATAGTATGTATAGTTATAATATCCTTACTTAGTTCTCGTGAAAGAAAACGTTTCACATACTTTAAGAAAGGTCAAATACGTAAATAGATCCCTAAACTTGTTGAGTTTTTTTCCTCAGGTATCTCAACTACGTCATTTTTCTATTGATCATTGAACCACACATAATTTGTTCCTTTAAAACACTGTTGGTTGATTTTGATCGATTTTTCTATTGTAAATGCCTTCGATTGTGCTCGAATTGTATTAATTTTAATTAAATGGATGAAAACAAACCGTGTTAGTCTCATTTGTTTTCTAATGTGTTCAAATGACTTAAGTAAAACACAATTATTATCGAACGTTTTCACTATCAATTGGACTAATGAGTTGTGGAACAACATATGTATCCTCTATCAATACCCCTCATAAATCTGGTTCCACATCAGACAACAGTGTTTGTTTAAAAGAAAAAAATTATAAGGGTTCAATGATTCAATAGAAAAATGACGTAGTAGGAAAAAAATCCAACAAGTTTAGGAATCCACTTATGTATTTGGTCTTTAATAAACTTTGTTCTCCTCTTCTTGATGTTTGGACTTGTTATAACTTTATGATGTTATGATCAACTTTCTCATATTTCGATAGTTATGTATAGTTATAATGTCCATATCACGATCAACTTAGTTTTCATGAAAGAAAACGTTTCACATACTTTGAAACTTTGTTCTCCTCCTCTTGGTGTTTGGACTTGTTACATTTTTTTTTGGTTAACTATGATGTTACGATTATATTGTGTATTCATATATCAATAATATTTATAATTATGGTGTTCTGATCAACTTGGTTCTTCGGGAAGGAAAAGTTCCACCATCCATGTATTGTTTAGTGAGAAAATCTTGATTATACTTTATGAATTTTTAAATTCTCACGTGTTATGTTTTTAAAAATAATTATAGTGTTCAAGTTAGTCGATGTATTGTTAAATGAGAAGGTTTTGATCATATTTTAAGAAACTAATTTATTCTCCTCTTGGTGTTTGGATGTGTTATTATTTTTATTATACATAATTATAGTGTTTGAATCAGTTTATTGCATCTCGATTATGATTGTGAGAGAGTTTTTATGTGTTGTTGAGTTTATTCCTACTTGAATTCTAAAATTGATAAATGTTTTGAGCGGAAAACAAATTAATAGTTTTTCCCATTTCCTTTTGATGATTAATTGTGAATAAATAAGGGAAAATAACACGGTTAAAAAAACTTATACTATTTAATCATTCGCGATTAATATTATAAATTAATTATGTGGGTTGACTTCGAATTTGTATAATAGTCACGTTTGTGTATATATATAATTTGCCAGAATACACAAATACATATGTATAATATACAATAATCTAACTGATATTCATACATATTTCACCTTTCTCCCTGTGTGCCTTCTCTTGCTCGCCTCTCACCTCCCTCCCCAATATCGCTTGCCATATATACAAATGCATATGTATAATATTTCATTATCTAACTGATATATAGATACAATTCACCTCTCTGCCCTCTCTCTCGCCTCTCTCTTCCCTCTCCCGATCTCGCTTGCCATATATACAAATACATAGTGTAATATACAATTATCTAACCGATTTACATATGCAATTCACCTCTATCCCACTTTTTGCCATCTCTCGCTCGCCTCTATTCTCTCTCTCCTAGTCTTGCTCGCCTTTCTCTTTCCTATAACATGTAGCTACGAATTGTAATCATCAAACTATAACTACAGAGAGTAATTAGACTATTTTTGAGTGGTTATATGTGAAAGTTCCTTAAAATAAATAATGAAATAAAAATAATATAGAGAGAATTTTAATCATTTTTAATTTTAAAAAATACAATATTTTTAAAGTAATTCATTTTTTTTTGGACAGAATCTTTTGCTTTTGACAACAATAATACAAAAAAAAAATAAAAAAATAAAAACAAATAATAAAAAATTCAATCGAACCCTATTAAGCACAACTTTTTAGTGAGAGAAACAGTGCTTCTAAAACTCCCAATCCATTTTTCTACTTTCTCTCTCTAGAAAAAGTGCGTTTTAGCTTAAATTTTCTGCGAACCAACTTTTTTTTTCAATCGATTCAATTTCAATGGCTAACAGCAATCTTCCTCGAAGAATCATCAAGGTGAATGTTTCCTCCTTTATCGATCGATCGTTTTTTTTTTGTAAAAATTTTAGAGACCCATTTTGTTTTTGATCACTAGGGTTTTGATCTACTGTACTTCGATTTAGTTTGATTTTGAGTTCGATTAAGTTTGAATTTTGTTGTTTTTTTTTATTTACAGGAAACTCAGCGTCTTCTAAGTGAACCTGGTAAATATATATATATCTGTGAAGGCCATGTATTGGATTTTTAAATTTGTTTATTAGAAGTGAAATTATTTGAGTATTGGAATGAAATTGCCTCAGTTTGAGCTGAATGAATGGAGAAATGGAGGATTTTGTATAGATGAACTCGGCTAGTTAGGGATTTAGTTGTTTACACAGTGGCGGAGCTAGAAATTTGAACGGGGATTCTAAAAGGAAGTTCTTATGCTGGGGATTCAACAAATTATATATACGCAAATTAAAGATCATTTTTTTGCCTTGTTTAAATAGTATAATTGAGTCCCTTTGCACCCATCTGCCTCTGCACCCTACTATTGTTGTTTGATAAATCATGCTAAAAAGTTCTTGAGCTTGCCTCCAAATAATTTCAGTTTAAAAGGTATTTACTACAAAGATATCAGTTTTGAGCTATTTCTCTCCTTTCCTTCCATTCAAGATGCTATTTTGAGCTATTTGAAGCATTTAAGTTATCTTCATTTACTACATGAACGTATTTCCTAGGTTGATTGGACTAGGGTGCGGATATCCGACGCTAATGTGATTCGACAAAATCTAAATTTTTAGGTTCAGGTGTATTTATCCAAGTATGGATAAGGATGCTGGGATTCGGTTAAAAAAATTAAAATGATAAAACAGAGCTATTAAGAAATTCGAAATCTTGAAAGATCTTTTAGGTCATCTTCCCCAAGATCGAAACTTCTTCTTTTAAACTCTCTGGTAGTCTGGTTCTTCCCCTCAAAAAAGAAAAAGAAAGTCATTCTAGGCCTTCCAACTCTCCTTATAAATCATTGCTACTATCTCCCAGAAGTCAGAACAACTGCTTGAATTCTTAGTTTCTCTCAGTTTGGCTTTGAATGTGAAGCAACAAATGTTGACCTAGAGGAAAAGCTAAAAAGGAGACAAAAGGACTATAAAATTGATGTTGTGCCACTTTCCATGTCTTAAATATATTTAATCTTCTATTTTGAGAAATCAAAATCTCAATATCCCCAAATTTGCCAATGTACTCTGATCAAAATATCCGATGTGCATTGACCTTATCCCACATGTATCCCTCTCCTGCACCCATCTCCTATTGACATGGGTGTGGCTGCGAAAATGAGGAGTCCGCGCAACCTTGCCTATTTCTCCTCTCTGTTCACCCTAGGTGCATTTTTTGTGTTCTCTTCCTGAATTTCAGAGTATAGTAGACTTGATTTTGTTTGTTAACTTTGGTACGGGCAAATGTTTATGCTCCTTGAGGCTTATTGTGAGGTTGTTCATTGGATTGTGGTTTTGCTTGATTCATGATCTATCTTGCTATGAGAATTTTTTAAAAAGTTTTTGTGTGGTTTAACTTTGATTGCAGCACCAGGAATAAGTGCTTCTCCCTCAGAAGAAAATATGCGATATTTTAATGTCATGATTCTTGGTCCAACGCAGTCTCCTTATGAAGGTAATTTGCTCAATAAATTATGCTAAGAAAATAGAAAAATAGTTTTGCTAAGTACATGAAAATCCATGTTGCTATTGTGTGTCACATTTAATAAATTGTGTCCTTTCTCTTGAATTGGTTCTTCACTTGTACATAGTTTTTGGTAAGTTTGTTCACTAGTTTTCTTTTCCTGTTTCATGCTCCTACTTTCATTTGCCTACCTGGTCACTCTTTGTAATGTTTGGGATCTGAGTTATATTTGGCTTTGCAAATCTTGTTGTGGGTCAGTTTAATGTAAAAAAGATAAACGGAACATGAAATCTTCTGGTCTCCTGACTAATTAATCCTGCTAAAGTTGAAATGAACTTGACTTGCTGACTGCAATACTGGTAGGATGCAGGGTTGTATCCCATAGTTTCAGTATCATTGTGTGCATGCTTATTATGTATATCTGAACGTATTTCTGACTGCAACATAGTGGATAGCTAGCTGTCCTTTTGCAGTTTTTTGAGATAATTCTAGTAGAAATGTGTTGACTATGAGTGTCATTTAGATGAAAGACATCTATCGTTGATCTTCCAGTGTTTACTTTGATTTGCATTTATGTTACTTTCTTTTGCTTTTAGTTCAGCTGGTTTACCCTTATTGCTGGACCATACATAATATGTTATTCTTTATTCTTTGAGTGACACAGTGGCGGATC